TTTGGGTGCATTGCAAAGCCACTGCCTGGGAGATCACACAAATTAGGAATCTTTTACTGCCGTGGGGGGGGGGGGGGGGGTCGGGGCGGGGAAGTGGGTAGCGTCATTTGGCAGACTGGAGGGATTTTGAATTGTAGGTTTCCCAGCTGGCTGATATATGCCTAGCTTCAGGGCGATTTGGCTGGTGGATTGTCGTGAAGGTTGCGCTTCGCAACGGAGATCTGTTTGCAAGGAGAGAGGGGAAATGTCCTTGCCTCACATCATCGTTGAAAGGTGGTGGTGAGGGTGGGGGAAGTTTTTGGCGTTGCCTGCTCGTCTCCTCCTATTATGTTTGTTTTGATATCCTGTTATGTCCGGTTATGTCTTTGAAGGCAGGAAGTGACATGCACTGGACGTATTCAGTCGCGTGGAAACAGCCTGGCAAGATGTTTGTCTCCAAATTTGTTTGTTGCTCGGTGCTCGAGTCGTGTTGCTCTCTCCGTCTGTGATTGACATTCTCCTCTGCCGGAGTGATTGATTCTCCGTTCTCTGTTAGAAGCAAGCGAAGGTGAGTTTCTTTCTTAGCTCTTGGTCGGCTGATTCTCTTCCCTGGAATGTGAACACTAGCCTCAGCATGAGCTGGCCAAATGTTGTCGCTTGGAGCGAAAGTCTAGTGAAGGATCTCTACCTTATGATTGCACATTTACCGTTCCGGAGCGCATCTGACTCCTTTTGAGTTGTTCGGGAGAAAGGTATACGTCTCTTTTTTTGTTCTAATGTTTATCGCTCCTGATGTTGTTCTTATGAGTGCTTTTGAGTTGCGCGTCATCTCATATATCCAGATGTTGCTCTCGAGTGGACAAACAGTATGAGGGACATAAGGGATAAAATGTCTCGACGTGCTTGTTGAGATGGGAGGAACGGTATCATCGCTGCATGCTTTGCCTCCTTTGTAGGAGCGTTGTGATGTCTTATTCGGTTTTGAACTTCTGATTTCTTTTGAACGGCAAAGCAAAGATACTAATGGTGGATGGATCCACGTTGGGCACAGCGTTGTGCTTTTGTTTTTGCCGTTTTGAATAACAGTTGGCCACCGTGCATAAGATGGGAACACGTGAAAATCATTCTGATTACAGGCATCATGTTGTATGGTTGTTTGCATTTAACCCGATCAGATTTCTGTGTGTGACACTGTGTGGGTGGGTGGGTGTGACACTGTGTGTGTGTGTGTGTGTGTGTGCGTGCATTTGTGTGGGGGTGGGTGTGTCGTGGTGCAAGAGAGAGAGAGAGTGAGTGAGAGAGAGAGAGAGAGAGAGAGAGAGAGAGAGAGAGAGAGAGAGAGAGGCGAAACGGCCAAGAGGGATATATTCTGGTATGCATTCAAATCTGGGAGAGAGAGGGGGGCAAAACTGGGAGAGAGGTGGGGAACAACACGGTGAGAGAGAAAGGGGGGGGGAGGGGGAGAGGGAGGCGGGCACACAGAGAGAGAGAGAGAGAGAGGGGGAGAGAGAGAGAGAGAGCTCTGCTTTCTGTGATGTTCTGTAAGGAAGCCTGCACAGCATTGTTGTTGTGCAATATGTCTTGCATAACAGAAAAGGAGCAACTCTGTTCTTCCACGTGATTGGTTCTCTCATTCCTGAAAAGAACTGAGCCTCTGCTCAATCTCATTGTGCTGCATTTCAAGCTTGAACTACAACTGGTTATGTGTATTGTCTCGCACATCCCTTCTTGTTGTGAGCATTCTTTCTTTTCTAATCTTCAACCAGCACCGCCTCCGAGCCTCGTTTTGCAGAGGTGGAGCAACTGCGCCCCAAGCTTTGGCCGAAGCGACAGCACGATCTTTTTTGTTGTGTTTTCGCTGGTGCCGCAGCCGTCATTGTTCAGTGACGGCTGGCCTCCGTCGGCGTACCTGGAAGAATGCGGTATAGGTTATATTTGCGACTTAGCTATCGAGGCTGAAAGGTAGTGGTGGTGTAATGTCTGTTTGGGAGAGGAAGGGAAGTGTTTGTCCTAACGATGAGCCTAGCGTAGTTGGTTCGCCCGTGAACTGTTGAAATACGGACTCGTCCATTTCCGGGACTCCAGTCAGATAGGGGGGGAATGAAATGACTTTGCGTTAGTACATGGGGGGGGGGCAGTCGGTTGAATGATGACATTCCAAAACTGTTGCCCTTTTTTTTTTCTCACCCTATTGATTCCTCCCATTTCTGTCCCTAAACTAACTGAGGTACTCCTTATTTGCCCATCGAATATAAGGGAGGCATCCTGAATTCCCCCCCCCCTCGAATAGAAGGCAGGCATCCTGAAAAATTTTCCCCTCTAAACAAAGGGACACTTGAGCTTTTGGCTCCTAGGGCGAGGTGCCACTAGCAAAGAGGATTGGACTAAGCTCCTGAATCTGGACGTGTGTTAAGCGCAGATGGAGAATAGCAGGTCAGGTCAATCTCTATATTCTGCAGAATCTGCACCTTTCCACGAAAACACGTCCAGATTCAGGTGGTAAATCCAATCCTCTTTGCTAGTGGGACCTCATCCCTGATATACTGTGGAGCTTGTCGATACCATAGTGGGTTGTTGCTCTGTCCCATCCCCACCCCCCCTACTCTCAATGTGTTATCCCGTCTGTAGTGTCGGTGTGGTGTTGTATTGTGCAAAAGCGAGCGAGAGTACTTCGTTCTTGCACCGGTGGGGTTTATATCGTGGCCGGTACGACTCCTAGCTGTGGTGGTTAAGATACTTGGCACTTGAGGGCGAGGTCGCCAATTTTGAATGTGTGCTTGCACGGAGGAGGTCACTGGCCCAGATACATGGATCGATGAACTGCTGCAGTGGGACAGGTAATTGTCATACTCTTCGCTCCCTCTCTTTTTTTTTAAAATAATTTGAACCATTTCGCAATTTATGTGTGTCATTCTTGCACAGGGAGCGTGGACAAGGCACGCCTCTAGCCTTTTTCGAGATATCTGCGATCCTCTTATCTGGCATCAGATCAGAAGCGAAGCGTCTCCTGAGCGCAGTGCAACGAAAAACGTTTTTGGTGAATGGGTCTAAAAGTTGAGAACTTCGTACATTGTGCCGTGCTATTGTTCTCTGTATTGTTCCGATTTTAATGGATGTATAGAGGGGACACATACCCCCCTCCGGTTTTTTTTTTTCTTTTGTTTTCTTTTGTAATCCCTTCTAGAATGGTATTTGTATTTGTCAGGCTGTGCACTCGAATCCCTTACCGTCTTCACGCAGATTGAACGCCTGGTCATTATATCTGTATTCGGGGCAAATTTCAGTCCAGATTCAGCTATAATGACAGGGCGTTCTATTCAGGTGAAGACAGTAGTTTTTTTTTAGGGAATGTCGTACAGGTATGGGACGGGGGAAATAAGTGCTGAATCTAGGCAAAATGACGATGTCCCGCTTCTTCGACTACGTACGGAAGAACGAAAGTTCGTGTAGCTTAAAGTTTAAAGTCTTTAAACTGCCACTACCTCTGAGCCTCCTTCTGGCATTCATGAAAATTGACATTCCATGTATTGAACGTGCCCTGATCTTTCTCAATCAGCCTACCGCCGCACACACACACACGCGCCACATGCCCACGGTGCCCCGCTGCCCCGCCCTGCCCCGCTCCCGGAATCCTAGCAAGCCAGCGCCGTAGTTTTCGCCGGCGGTTTCGGACGGTAACTACTAATTCTCCACATTGGCCTTATCTCCTTTCTTGAACATTAGTCCGATCACTCCTGGAGTCGTATATACCTTTCCCCTGCTTTCCCATGTCAGGACTTCATTGTACACCCCCACCAATCCACAGGTCCCAAGGAATCTCAACGTCTATGATAAAACTCTACTGTCAATCCGTCAATGGCCGGGCACTTGCATCTGGCCATCACTTTCAAAATCTGTTGCAGCTCCTCGACTGTCACTGGTCTGTCCAATGCCAACCTCTCCTTGTTTGTCAGCGTAACCTGTGTGGGGCCCACATATCCAACTCTTCCGACAAGCCCATCCCCACTGTATCAGTCAACCTCCTCGATGTCTGCATAATACAGCCTTTCTTTTTTCTTTTTTTTTAAATTTGAAACGTTGCCGACGGGCGTGGGGCAGGTGCTGATAAGAGCGACACCCCATACCCTGTTTGCGGATGGATCTGTTCGATTGGTTGGGAGGTGTTACCTGCCGGAAACCGGGTCCAGCGTCCCTCTACATCAAAGGCAAGGGGCCAGAATTGTGTTTGCTATGATAGCTAGAAGCTTTGTAGAGACGCCAACCACCAGGCAGAAAGCCCTCGCGGAATCCCCAAGAAACCCTGTGGTTGTAGTGCCGGCAATGTTACGACCGATGTCCCATCGCCGCAGCCCTGCTGTTTCGCAGCCCTTGCATTTGTGGGTGCTGCAGCGCCGTGACGCAGACACTCTGTCCACTTACCCTCCTTATGGACGGCTCCGTTCCACTGCTGGGGAGCTGCACCTACTAGAAACCTGGTCCGGTGTTCGTTAACATGAAAGACAAGGAGCCAGAGTTGATGCTGCTATGATCGATGCAAACTTTGTGGAGGCACCGTTCCCTTTCGCAGGCTAACGACAGCCAGAAAATCCAGCCTTGCATGCTATAATATATATATTGTTTTTCATTTTTGTTGGATATTTTTTTGCATACTTATTCTAACATACCTGAGGAGGTGGTACAGGGTGCAACCACTTGATTTTTTTTTATTTTTTTTTTGCATAGTATATTTTAAGATACATGAGGAAGTGTTTTTTTTTGTTTTGCATACTATATTCTAACATACCTGAGGAGGTGGTACATGGCGCAACCGCTGGATTTTTTTTTATTTTGTTTTGCATAGTATATTCTAAGATACATGAGGAGGTGGTACACGGCACAATCGCTGGATCAAAAGAGTGGTGAAATTTTACCATTAGGTGGAAGTTTTCTTAAAGATTCTTTGGTAGTTCTCCTTCCATTTTTCTAGTCGGTGTCATTGCAGTGTATCCCGCTGTGTGAGGTGTGTTCTCCTCTCTGCCAACCAGAAGAGAGCTTCGAGATAGGATGCTTGGCAACACACCGTTTTGCCTCTTTTTGTTTCCCTTTCTCGTGCAGACCATTTCGCCGTGTTACGGTACTTGGCCTCAATTTTGGAGAAAGCGTCTCATTGCTGAGATAATTCTAATCCCGCTATCTAGCCAATGGGAGGAGGAGGGAGAGAAACTCCCTCGTCGACAGCTGTTGTGGTCTACCATGCACTCGTTCAGTCGATGATCGTCTTGATTCCGAGAGTAAAGTAATGTTTTCCTCTCTCTCTCAGATAAAGTTGAGTACGAGCTCGGCGACGACTGGTCTATGGTTAGAAAGAGCGGGATTATTGGTCTCACTGACGGCACTCCTACACCAGCCGACTATTAACCTGAAAATGATATAATGCATTAATGTCCTGATTCTACTACTCATTACCCTTTTTTTTTTTTTTCTGGAATGTTTGAGAACAGGGTGGCTGAAAAGGGCCCTCTCAACCTACCTTTGGAAGAATAGTGCAAAAGCCCAGGGCTGCATGAGCAGAGTCAGTTGGGACATCCTCACCCAGCCTAGAGTCGCAGGGGGACTAGGTATATTAGATCAGGAAAGGGAAAGCGAAGCCTTGGTTTTCAAAATCCTGGTCAGGCTAGTCATAGGCAATGACATTCTGTGGGTCCGTTGGCCTGCTTGCAAATAACCAATCTGGCCCCACAACCGACTGCTTCCATCCGAGTACACCCCTTCGGATGGCTCACTAATTCCCACTGGTCGACTCCTGGCCCTCCACATCAGGCACAGGCCGACACCCCGTCAATAGCCACCAGACTTGACATCCCTATTGATCCTCTGTGGCCCAACATGCTCAAATTACGGAAAGGGGTCCGAAGTAGAGGAGGCCCCCGAACAGATGGCACAACGTATGGAGGCAGCCCCTGTTCGGCAACCCTCACATACTTGATGGTGCAGGCAATCCCTTCACCTTTACCACGAACTCGCCCTGGCTCACTTGGGCAAAGAAAGATGTCCTCACTGTAGGGGACCTTTGGGACCCAATAAACTCGGATGGGGCCACCACTGACCAGCTACAGAGGAGTTTAAAACA